CATTCCAGGAGGTTCCCGTGCTCCGTTTCTGCCTGGGTTTATTTTGGGGCAGGAACGGTGTGCGCGGCATTCGTTGCCGTAAGGGTTGGTGTTCTCCTCGAGGCTTTCTGATTCCCCTTAAATCAACTGGGCGAACATTTAAGGGCTGGCGAAGGCCCAGAAATAAACAAGGCTCGATTCCTCTCCGCCATAGTAAAGAATGCTGAAGCCACCCCTGGTAGGGGAAGGTCGACTTCCACTAGAGGGGGTTAGAGCCACATCCAGGAAGGCTACTTGGAGGAGGCGGAATTTAAGCCAGGCCCTGGGGGAAGAGGGAGGCTGTAAACCAAGGGGATGTGGGGAGGGCTGGGAGCCCGCCGTGGGTTCTGCCTGAGCAAAGGTAAAGAGATGCTCTTAAGTGTACGTTAACCGGTCTGGAGAGGGTCCAGGGACACGGCCAGGAGAGGCGGGTGGGGTGGGGGGCCCTCGGGTGTCTAGAGAGACACTTCAGAAGGGGGTGTGCAGATTTGCACGTTGTCGCCAGAAAGATGACAGGGTGAGGTTTTGCGGGGGAAGGTGGAGACCCAGAGCTGGAGAGGAGGGGGCGGAGGGCTGGGAGGGGACCCGGGAGCAGCTGGGGGCAGCTTTGGGATGGGGAGGAAGAGACGTGGTGCGGGGAGGGCGCCAGGTGGCGGTGGGATGCCCAGGTTGAGAGTCGGGGGGAGGCTGGGGAGGCTGGGGAGGCGGAGCCGGGCGGGAGGCCGCAGCTGGGGCCAGGTGCTTCCGGATGGCAGCATTGCAGACTGAGGCCGGAAGGGGCACACAGGTAGAAACTGAGAGAGGCGACAACGCGCCAGCGCCCCCAGCCTTCGGCTCAGGCCCCAGCAGACGCCTGGAAGCAGCTCAGACCCCAAACCCTCGGCACCGCGGTTTCCAACGGGGAAAATGAGGCTTGCAGAGTGATCTTTTCTCTCTGATCATTTCCACTGGGGAGACCAAATTATAAAGAGGTAAATGTAAGAAGGGCTGGCTGAGTGGGGACGAAGCCCTGGCATTGACCTATCATCCGGGGCCGCGGGGCGGCAGCGGGGGCCGAGCCCCGTCCTGTGCTCTCACCCGGCCTCCCTTGTCAAGTTGGCGGCGCTAACAGGGCACCTGGGATTTGATGGTCCCAGAGACAGCTTGGGATTTCAGTGACACGCAGTAGATGAGTTAATCCTGAAGTTTGTCAGCCACTGACATCCTGGAAGGCGGGGAGGGGGGCCCGAGGGGGGAGGTCTAGACTCAGGGCCCCTGGTTCACCCCAGCTCCGCCTCCTGTCCCCAGAGCGGTGTGCTTGGCACACAGTGGGCACTCGGCAAGCCCTAGGGGCTGCCAGGCGGGGCACCGGCGCGCAGCACATGGGGGAGGGTTGGAGGCATCGGGAGCCGGGGTGGGAGCATCATGCAAGGGTGTGTGCAGATTCACAGAACTATGTGTCCATTCTTCAGAGCGATTTGATACTTTGAGAACTTTGAAGGCTTGGAAACGGTGCAGAGAAAGTTGGGGAGTGGATACCCTGAAGCAGGCTCTGAGGACCCCTTAGGCATTGGTGTGGGTATTAATGGAGACCCTGGGGGCCTCAGCCAGGCCAGGATTCTCGAACCTCTCCCGGGTCTGTGGCTGAGCAGGGTGGAGCGGCTGGGCCCACCCAGATCTCTCAGGGCCCTCGGGGTTAACGGGGTGTCCCTGGCCCCGTGGCCTGTCTGCATGGTGGGCTGGGTGGGGGCCTACTGACCAGGGAGATGGGGGGAACCCCTCCCCCTGTGGGAAGATGGCTGATTAATTATTACGAAGAAGGGTTGCTCCCCAGAAGCTGTTGAGGGAAGCACCCAGATTCCCGTGTCCTGTGGGTGTCGGGGCGCGGGAAGAGGAAGTGGGCCTCCACAGCGGCAGATGTGGGGTTCCAGGGGCCCTCTTGCTGCCTTGCCATAGCCCCCCCGCCCCCCCCCAGCCGCCAGTGACCCGCATCACAGCTGGCCACTTTCCGGCCAGGTGTGGCCAGCTGGCAGGAGCCCGGCTCGGAGACAGGTGGCTGCCCTTCCCTGTCTGGACGTCCCCCGGGCGCTGTGAGCCCCCCACCTTGGGGGCTCCGAGGTCAGGTCTGCAGAGATAGCACCGAATGTGTCTGCGTGTGTGAGGGGTGAGGGGTGCAAAGTGTCCTGGAAACAAAAGCTTGAGCAGGGGTGTCTGCGCTGGGCATCCGACTTCGGCTCAGGTCATGATCTCGCGGCCCGTGAGTCCGAGTCCCACGTCGGGCTCTGTACTACCTACAGCTGGGAGCCTGGAGCCTCCTTCGGATTCTGTGTCGCTCTCTCTCTGACCCTCCCCCATTCGTGCTCTGTCTCTCTCTCCAAATATAAACAAACATTAAAAAAATGAAAAAATAAAAACTTTGAACAGCACTGGCTTCTCTTGAATCCCGGTGTGGCCTGGAGTTTCCATGGGGTGCCGGTCTTCGGGCCACGCCTCTCGGGGGCCTCTCGCAGGCCCTGCCCGGGGGGATGAAGAGGGTGGCGTGGCAGCTCGGATCTTATTTAAAATGGAGGTAGAATTCACATAACACAAAGTTAATGATCTTATTTTATTTATTTATTTTGAGAGAGAGCGCGTGCAGGTGCGGGTGAGCAGGGGCGGGGCAGAGAGAATCCCAAGCAGACTCTGCGCTGATGTGGGGCTCGATCCCACAACCCGTGAGATCACTGAGCCGAAATCAAGAGTCGGACGCTCAACCAGCCAGGCGCCCCCAAAGTAACCATTTTAAACCGAAACGTTCAGAGGCATTGAATCCATTCACGAAATTGTACAGCCACTGCCCCTCTGGGTCCAGAACGTTTTTCTCCCGCCGCCCCGCCCCCCCACCCCACCCCCGGGGAGAAACAGCCCCTGGCGGTTAGCCGTGTCCCCTGTGTCTCCGTTGTCTGTTCTGGACTTTCCTATGGCTGGAGTCACACCGTTTGTGGCCACTTGCGAGCGGCTTCTGTCCCTCCGAGCGCTGGTTTCAAGGCTCACCTGCTTGTGCCTGCGCGTCAGTATCTCACCCTTTTCGTGACCGAGTACCCGCGGTGTGGACACGACGTGGGCTTTTTAAAAGCTACCGACCATTTGATGGACACTTAGGTTGCTTCCACTTTCTGGCCACGAATGAATACGGCTGCCCCCCGGCGTTGTGGACAGGGTTGTGTGGAGGTGCGTTTTCACGTCTGCTGGTGCGCAGCGCAGGCCTCTCCTGTGTGTGGGCAAAGGCAGGGCGTGCGAGGGGGACCCCCACCCCGCTCCCCACGCGGGTGCAGTCGGCGGCCTGGCCTCCCTGGTCTGTCTTCCTTCCTTCCTTCCTTCCTTCCTTCCTTCCTTCCTTCCTTCCTTCCTTCCTTCCTTCCCTCCCTCCCTCCTTCCTTCCTTCCTTCGTGAGAGAGGGGGAGACACAGAATCTGAAACAGGCTCCAGGCTCCGAGCTGGCACAGAGCCGACGCGGGGCTCGAACCTGTGAACCGCGAGATCATGACCTGAGCCGAAGTCGGACGCTTACCCGACTGAGCCCCCCAGGCGCCCCCTTTCTGGTTTATTTTCTTGCTGAGGCCTCCCTAGGGCGGTGGGAAGGGGTGCGCTGCAGGCACGGTCGGTACAGGGCAAGGCGGCAGTGGTGCGGGCGCATGTAGGCCTGTCTCTGGCCTCAGACCCTCTGTCCCCACACTCCCGTCCCCCCGCACGCCGGCGTGTGCTCAGCAGTTGGACCGCTGAATGAGGTCGATGCAAAGATGCCCGGTAATTTCAGGTCTAGGAAGAGGTGGTGGGGAAATTTGCTGAGGGTGTGGAAGCAGGTAAGTGGCTCGAGAGGGCGGTGCCCTAGGGAGAAGAGGGAGAACGTGAAGCTGAAAGACCGCTAATCTGGGGCCTTGAATGCCAACCCAGGACGTTTGTGGCCCAGGCGTCCTGACGGTGCCGCCGCTAGGGCTGTGTTCTGATGAGAACGGAGGTCTTGAGCAGAGTGACGCCCCCGTCAGCGGGGTGACTGCTGGCCGCCGCTGTGGGCCGTGCCCCCCCCCCCCGCCCCCGGCCCGGGAGTTTCCGCTCCTGCCCCGAAGGCAGAGCCTGGGAGCGCACGCCTGTCGCACGGTGCGGGCCTCCCAGGTAGACGGGTCGCGGGGATTCTGAGTGCTCTGCGATTCCATAAAAGCCTGCTAAAATAAGACCACTCAGGAACACATTCTCTCCTGCTTTACATCACAAATGTTGACAGGAGGAAAACGTGGCCAGGTTTCTCTCAAATATGAAAAATGGGAAGTAGGCAAGCCAGGAAATGAAACCCAGCCCCCCCCCAGCCCAGACAGCGTGGAGGAGGGGGTGCCCTGGGAAGCAGGGTGATGTCTCTGCACCCCCGTTACCTTATGCAGACGGTGAGGCGGCGCCACCCCAGAGGGCAGGGCTCTGAACACGGAAGGGGTCAAGTGCCCTCACCCAGCGGTGTCCTAAAGGTGCTGGAGTTGGGGAGGCGCTGGGCCGCCATGTGGGGGGGGGTTCCCTGCAAACTGTCTTCTTGCCGGAAGCTGCAGCCTGGGGGCCGCTTCCCTCCCTCCTCCAGGGGCAGGGGGAGGGACTGGTTGTGGAGGGGAGCCCAGGCTCTGCCCAGGTGGCTGGGGGATGGGCAGCGACTCAGGCGGGCCCACCCTGAGGGTGGGGGACCCCCGCTCCGCAGGCTCAGCTGGGGAGGGAATTGCAGAGCCCCCCCCATGGGTGTGAGCTAGGTTCGCACTTGACCCCCAGGAGGGCCACCCCGGAGCCTTGTCCCGACTGGCATCTTGCAGGGGTCGGGGAGGGGGGCACAGGACAGGGGCCGGGTGTCCCTGGCGGCAGAAACGCCTGTGCGGACCCCAGGAGTCGCTGCCCCCTTCCCCCTTCCCCCTCCCTCCGCGTTGGCCTGGCCCCGCCGTATAAAGTTTAAAGGTTTTAAATGCAAATATTTCTCTTTTATAGATGCCAGCTGTCTCCAGAGAGCGCGTTTGCTCGCAGCTCAACTTTATTGTCCAATTAGCTTCCCATATCTGAGTACCGGCGAGCCCGGGGGCTGGGGGAGGGGGCCGGCTCCCCCGGCGGGGCGGGGCTGGGGGCCGCCCCCCAGGGGACCGGGTCTGTAGAGGGGGGCTGGGAGGGGGCCGCAGGGCGCCTTTCAGATTCCGGGCTGCGCCGGGAGGTGCAGGAGCCGCGGCGGGGGCAGCTCAGGGCAGGGGTGTGCTTTTCTTATTTAAAAGAAATAAAGGCCGCCCGCCCCGCGCACACTGGCTTCCTTTGAGTCCCCCTCGAGTGTCCCCTCCCCGCCCGGCGGCTTCCCCATTCACCGGGGCTCGGCGGCGCTCACAAAGCGAGGCAATTAGAATTGAAAATCTATGCAAAACAGCTGTTAACTGATTGTAAGGGAGCGCAGCTGTGCGCCGAGCGCGGCGAGGAGGCTGGCGAAGGGCAGGCAGGGCTGGGGCGGCCGGGGTGAGGAGGCAGACTCCGGTCCCGCGGCCGAGGGGGCGGCCGGGCCTCAACCCTTGCTGCTCCCCTGCAGGTGACCTTGGCTACCGGGGGCCGGGGCGTCCCCCCAGCACCTCCCCCTGCTCCCCGGCAGGACCGAGGGCGGCTGCGCTGCCTCCCCCGCTGCAGCCCTTTCCCTCCGTTTACCCGCTCAGCAGATCTGCGTGGAGCTGAGGGGCCCCGGGGGCTGGGGCTGGGTCACGACAGCCGTCCCTCTGCCCTCCGGGCTCCTTGCGGGGTGGGGGGAGGAGGAGGGGGAGGAGCTGGGGCTCCAATTATCTCCGAGGCCCAGACTCCTCCTCTCCCAGCCTGTGAAGGGATGCCCTCTCCTGGCCCACTGGGTTGCTCCCAACAGTGAGTGGCCCTGGGAACCTGTCTTTCTCACTGACACCCTCCCAGCCCCCCTTAACAGCGTCTAAGGCCCGCAGCCCTGTGGGACTCAGCGCCTGGAGGGATGAATTCCAGAGCCAGGGAAGGGAAAAGCCTTCTCGGAGGAGATAAGGTTTGAGCCCAGCTTTGAAGAAGGAGAGGCGCTCTGGGACTTCCGGATACCAGTGGGGGGGGGGGGGGGGCTGGCCCCTGTGCCGGACAGGGTGCCGTGTGCGCGGCCGGTGATCACCAAGTGCTGCCAGGTGCAGGCAGGCGGCCGGGTTCGGGATCAGGCCTGGATCGAATCTGTGTACCTGGGCTAGTTAACCTCCTCTGGTCTCCCAGCCGGCCTTCGTTGTAATGGGGGTCACCCGGCCCACCCCGCAAGGCCCAAGCTCGGCTGTCCTGGCACGTGTCGGGTGTTTGGCAAATGGCAGAAGCCATAGTCCCTTCCCACCCGCGAGGACATCCGGGTCCCTGACGCCCGTTTGCTGATAAAGGTGCCGAATGAGGTGGCTGCGGCCATGTGACCGGGACCGTGATGCTCCTTGTGTGCTAAGGAGCACCTGATCGGGGCAGAGGGCACTGTTAAGCTGCTCGAGTGTCCCGCTGGCCCCACAAGGAGACGCAGGATGACAAAGAGCAGGAAGGTGGGGTCCCCTCCGTGGCGCCAGGGGCCCGTCACAGACTAGGGGCTGGCATCTGCTGGGACTCGGTGGGCAGCAGCCCTGTCAGTGCCCACACTCCTGGGAACCTCACCTGGCCCAGGTAGGTGCCCGCGCTCTGCCTCCTCCGTTCCATGTTGTCCTGAAGCCTCGCCCCCACCCCGCCCCCAGCATCTTGGCGCCCGTGTCTGTCGCATGGTCTCTTAGGGCACCTGCTGAGGGTGGGCCTGGCATTTTTCAGTTCTGTATCCGGGAGGGCGCTGGCGCTTGGTGCGTTTGTTGACTGAATGCCCACCGATGTGGTTAGAGGCACCCCTTTCTTTCCAGCCGATCCCGTCTGGGCCTCTCCGTCACGCACCCCCGTCTCAGGTCCTGTCCTCGGGTGGTAGGTGGGTTTAAGGGGTGCCCGGGGCTTGTCTTTGAGGGCTTTTCCATCTTTTTGGCCTCGCAGACTTCACAGGCCCCCGGAGGCCAGGCTGGATCTGCAGGAATTCCTCTTAGTAGGGGCTCAGCGCCAGGCGAGGGCCCGAAGACCCCTGCTCTCTGCACCAGGAGGCCGGGTTCAGGTCGGTGCTGGGAAGCGGCCACCGCATCTTGTCGCCCTGGTGCAGGTGTCACAGCTCAGGGAGGTGTCCCCACCTCCTCCTCCCCTCCCCGCCCCCCCAGGACTGGCCCTGGCACCTCGCCCTTTTACCCCGAACCTTTTGTGTCTGCCTTCTGTTTCCCAGCAAATGGGGACCGGGGAGGGGAGGCCTAGGAGGCAGCACTTTGCCCAGGACGGCAGAGCAGTGGGAGCTGCTGAGGACGAAAGAGAAAGAACTGGCCTTGGAGGGAAATGGAGGGCCGCCAGCCCGAGCCCCGAGTGGCGGGAAATTAGGAGTCAAGCTACAAACCTCGTTAGCGAGGAGCGCGGGCTGCAGGAGAGCAATTCCCACCCTTAAACTCGGAGGCCGTGCTCCCGGATTACTAATTTCCTCGAGCCGGGCGCACTGACAGTGAGTGTCATTCATCTCCCCCCTTGCCAGCCCGCCCGGCTGCCGCCAGCACTGGCAGCCCGGCGCGGGCCCCGCCGGCTCGCGGCTGCCCCCCGGTGGCCGCCGGGCGTCCCTGCAGCGCCCCCGCTGCCTCCGCGGCGGGGCCGGGCCAGGGCGGAGGCTCCAGGTGTGCGCGGCTCCCCTCGCACCAGGACCTACGTGACCTTGAGCAACTGTCGGCCTCCACTTCCTCATCTGTGAAACGGGCCCAGACCGCCCGCCTCGCAGTCCGGTAGAACCAGCTGTCTACCTGGGATGGAAATGCCAACTCTAAAAACTAGCCAAATGGTAACCTGAGAGGCCATCCCACCAAGTTTTGCGTCGCTGGCGTAGTTCTCTTCAAACAGGTGGAAGAGCTGGGGCCCCTTCCTCCCCGGGGCGTCCCTGGGCCGAAGGGAAGAAGCGGGAGCCGCGGGTGCGTCCCAGCACGCGGTATTTGGAGGCGGGCCGGAGGGCCTGGAAGGGCCTGGAAGGGCCAGCTGGGAGGGGCCTCCCCGCCAGGTGCGACAAGTTCATTTGCATGCTCTCCCCTCCCCTCCCCCTCCCCCTCCCCCGCAGCCGGGACTCAGGTGGGAAGGCGTCGGAACAGCCCCAGAGGTTTCAATGTGGATTTTGAGGCCCGAGGCTGGTGGCGGAGCTCCCTCCCGGCCCCTCCCTCCCCTGCCCCCGCCGGTGTGTCCCGGCGGGGCCGGCCGCGTCCCCTCCCCCCGCGTCCCGGCCGCGGGGGCCGCGGTGGATCCGGAGGCCGCGCTGCGGAGATGCCGCGCGGCGCGTAAGGCGTCGGGCGAAGGCCCAGGCCCGCGGGCGGCGCAGGGCGCAGGGCGGGCGCCCCCCCAAGCCGTGCGAGGCCGGCCGGCGCCCGCAGGTAGGAGCCAGTAACGGCCCCCCGGCCCGGCCTCGCGGGTCCGTTTCCCTTTTCGTTTGTGGTCGGCTCGGAGGCTTGTGCAAGGCGCGGGGGAGGGGGGCCGCCCCGTGTGCGCCCCGCTGCGTGTGCCCCTGCTGGCGCGGCGTGGAAGGTGGAGCGGGGGGCGGGGGCCTTGGGGGCGCCCGCGGGGGCCCTGGCCCTCGCCCCGCAGCGGGCACGCAGGCGGGCTCGGCTCCCCGCTGGCGCAGGCCCCGAGTGCTCCAGGCCCGCCAGCGTCATCTGGAACAGATGGATGGGGGGTGGCCGGCGCCCAGCGCTCCCTCCCGTCGCAGTCCGGGCTGGCGCGGGGCGGGGGAGGAGGGCGGGGGAGGCTGGGCCCGCGGGGACGGCGGCGTGCGCGCCTGCCAAGCGCGGCGCGGGCATGTCCCGGGGCAGGTTTGGGGCTGGCAGAAGCGCGGGCTGGCACCTGGGTCCGAAAGTTGAAACCCGCAGCGCGGCGCTGGGGCGGCCGCCGGGGTGGGGGCACTGCTCTGCCTCCAGGCGCAGAAGTATGAAAGCTGTAGGCGAGAGAGTTTTCCACGGAGAACGTACGCGGGCATACCCTGGGGCATCGCGACCAGCGCCGGGAGCTTGGGACGCGCGCGGGGTCAGACCCCGGGGCGCCGGAATGCGCCGAGGCCAGGGGCGTCGGGCGAGGCGTGCCCCATTAACCCGGCGCTTCCTGGAGACGCAGGCGGCGCGGGGGGTGGGCTCCAGGCTCCCGGGCTGTGCCCGCCGCCGGGGGGGGGGGGGGGGGCCGGGGGGGGGGGGGCGGGGGGCGGGCTTGGGCTTGGGTGGAGGAAGGCTGGGGCCCGCACTCCCTCGCCTAGCCGCCTGTGGGTGCCCAGGAATTTCAGGACGCTCCCTGAGTCATTCCAGTCTGTCAAGTGCCTGGGTGAGGTAGGGTGGGGAGGGACGGGGGGGGGTGCCAGGAATGGGGAGGCGCTGCGCTGGGGCCCGAGGCCCAATGGGTCTTGCCAGTTTCTGGAGGCGGGCGGCCTCGCCTCTGACCGCAACCCCAGCTACTTAATGATCCCCCTGGTGGAGCGGCGCCTCCCGTGGACTCCAGCCTCGGAGACGTGGGTTCTTTACAGAACCACCCCCTGGCCCGGCGGGTGGCCTTCCCAAAAGTTACTTCTAACGCCGGGAGGGGGCAGTTCCTAGAATTTGGGTGCGGGAAGGCGCAGAGGCTCGACGTTTTCACATTCACCCCTTCAGGGCTGCGGCAGTTCGGGTCACGAATCCGGGGGTGCGGACGCTGTCTTGCCCCCCCGCCCCGCGCCGCCGCCGACACGCACAGCAGCTCCCAGAAAGTTCTCCCAGAGGCCCCCAGAACACGAGCTCGTCCGTTCTTTCTTGGGCCCGCTCTGTGCCAGGCACTGTTGCAGGCGCCCGGGCGCGGCGGTCACGCGGCTGGGGCTCTGCGGCCTGGCGCCCGTGCCGGGACTGCCTGTCCCCGCCTTTGGAGTTAAGTGGCGGGTGTGGGATACCGGTGCGTCCGGGGCCCCCCGGGAGCCCGAGGGTGGCACTTACCCCACCTGCTAGCGTCCTCGGCTCACCTGGCCGCGCGGGCCGGGCAGGGGCGGGTGCCCGCGCGGGTGTGCCCGGGCGCCCGTCCGTGCGCGCGCGCGTGTTTGCGGCTGAAACCCGACACCTCCCGCGGGCGGAGGTCAGGAGCCGGGAGCGAGCCCGTGGCCCCGGAGTGGGCGGCGTCGCGCTCGGGTGTGTCCTCGGCGGCGGCGACAGCAGCAGGTGTTTCTTGGCCGGGGCCCCGGAAGCTCCACCCCCCCAGCGGGCCCGAGCCGCCGCCGCCGCCGCCGCCGCGCAGCCCCGGGTGAGATAAGCAGTTTAGACAAACACTGGGCGACGGTGGCTCCAGCATGTGTCAGCCGAGGCGGAGCTGCGGGGCCCTGGCATGAAAGGTGAGCGCGCCGCGCCGGGCGGTGGAGGGCGGGGGGGGGGGGTCCTCCGCACCCCCCTTCCCGGTCCACCGCGTCTCCTCCTCCAAGTTCGCGGGTTCCGCGGGGGGTGGCCGCCAACGGCTCCAGGGCAACTTCCCCCGGAGTGCGAGCGCCGATAAGAGTCGAGCGGGCGGGCAGGCGACCAAAGGCCCCCCGCCTGCAGGGGTCGGAGCCAGGGCGGCCTGGCCCGGGGCGGGGACACAGGCCGCCGCGGGACCCGGGCTCGGTGGCCGCGTCCGGCGAGGGGCGTGTAAGTGTGCGCTCTGGGGGGGCTGGGGGGGACGGGAAGCTAGGGGGCTCCGGGCGAACTGTGACGCTCCGGAGCCGGGGCAGAAACTTTGCGGGAGCGAGGGGGGGGCGGCCGCGCACCCCCACGGCAGGTGCCGGCGGAGGCTGGAGGGGGGGGCGCTGGAGCTCGCGGCCTGGGGACTCGCGGTTAGGGTTTTTGTCTTGCTCCCCTCCCCCTTCCCTCGCTGCGGGGGAGACCGTCGGGAGGGCGGAGCTGCCGGCTCCCGGGTCTCCGACCCCCACACCCTGCTTCCCAGGGGCTCACCCCGAGCTCCGCTCGTACTCCCCCCTTCTCCCCCCCCCCCGCGTTGGAGCGGTGCCCCTGCCCCTCCTCCTCCTCCTCCCGAAGATGGCTGCCCCAGCCTCGGAGGTGGGAGGGTGATTGCATCCGCCGCCCCCCGCTCCCGCGCTGCCCTTTCCCCTCCCCGGCCTCCGCCTGGATGCGCCTCCCCGCCCCCAGCCCTCCCGGGCCCGCGGCCGCGCTGATGGGCGGCGAGTGGCCCGACCTAGTGGAGCCGATTCAATTATATTGCTGCACCAGAGACACCTCCTCGGCCGCCCGCCCGCCTCTCCAGCAGGCTAATTAAATTCCCTTCGTGGAGGCGGAGCGGGAGTCAGGCTCGCCCTCCCCGGCTGGGGGGGGGGGCAGTGGACCCCTTTAGGAGCGTGGAGTGCTGGCTCCGAGCGCAGGTTGTGGGGGGAAGGGGCTTCGCCGGATGGGGGGGAAGAGATTCTCGGACACCTCCCCCACCCAGCTCGATGGGTCCGGGGGACTCCTTGCCGACCGTCCGCTGGAAGTTTTAAGGGCTGTGTGCTCGGAGGGAAGCCCCCGCCCCGGCTCCCAGCTGGGGGGGTGGATACCAGCCGGGGAGTTGAGTCGTTGTGGCCGTTGTTTTGTAAACTAGCCTTTGTCTGCGGAGTGCATCTAAAATACATTAAACCCTCGTTAACCCCTGCGGTGCCTTATCGGGGGCCCACACAGGTCGGGGCTTGGAAACAAAAAGTGAGACCACCAGATGAAAAAAAGGGCTCCCTTTGTGAAGGCCCTGGGACAAAGGATCATGCACTCTGGGTGGGAACCTCCGGCCTAAGCGGATTTCCAGGAGGCGGGGATGGTGGGCAGAAGGCCCTGGTGGGGTGCTTGGCTGGCTGGCCCCTCTCCCCGGGGGCTCTGTGCCCTCCCCGCCGAGGACTGGACAGCGGCCGTGGGGTGGGGGGGGGCGTCGGGGAGCCTCAGGTGAGCAGCCGCCCGTTTCTGGGTGTCCGTCAGTGTTACTTAAGCCTGGGGCACGTCAAAGTGGCTCATCCTGTGTTTACAGGCCGTCTCCACTGGCGGGGACAGCAGAACCGGAGGCACAGGCTGCCGCCTGACTCAGCCAGGCCACACCACAGGTGAGGGGGCCCTGGGCGCAGGCTCCGACGGCCGGCTGTGTCATCCCAGCCGCCTGCTGGGCGGGGACTCTCCTCCCCGGCCAGGTGGATGCGGAAGCCAGCAGGCCCGGTTCCGCAGAGGGCAGCCCCGTCCCGACCCCTGGGCGGGGTGTCGGGGGTGGGGGGGGAGGGGGTGCTGATGGCCGGCGCCGGGTCACTTTGCGAGAAAGGCAAGGTAGCGGCAGCTGGGGGTTGACACCTGGCACTTTTCTTTCTGTGAACCTGGGGAGCCTGAGTCGAGCTGGTGAGCAGTGGGGGAGGGGGGGCTGCCACCTGGGGTCAGCCCCGCCTCAGCGGTGTGGGGGGATCTCAGGGGGGAGCTTGTGAGGCCTGTCCTGGGTCCCGGCACCGTCCTGTCTGGGGTCAGGCTCAAACAAGGCAACAAGGCTGCCCTCTGGTGCAGGCCCTGGCCTGTTGGGGACAGCTTTCAGGGTCCTGGTTTGTCAGTGTTGCAAAGGGCTCGTAGATCCCCAAGCTTGGTTTTCTGAAATTTCTGAGCGGCCAGGTGTCCCTGAACCCCGCTAAGCCACAGCCTCTGGGTTTCTGTCCTAGGCTAGAAAGTGCTGGAAGTCCTCCCTCCGGCCCCCGTTAATTTTAAAGTGCAGACGACCCCCTAAGGGGTGAGCAAGCCGGGGCACTTGGAGCCCCGACACCAGAGCTCGCAGCCAAAAGAGGACCTCAGGTGGCCTTTGCAAAACCGCCCCCTCGGGCAGCCCTCTGGCCGCCAGTAACTTGCCTGTCTTTGGGGAAGTTCCGGGGCTTCAGATCCAAGAGATCAGTTTCCAAGCAGACGGCGCCCGCCTGAGCAAAGTCTGCACAGCGCCACTCGGTGGCAGACCTGAGTCCTGCACCCCCAGCCTCGGGACCTCCCCGGCTCCCTTAGTCCCCATCTGCCCTTGACCCTTGGGCAGGTGGTGTCCTCCTTTCCTGCTCTGGAGAAGGAGGGGCCTCTGGGCTCTGAGTCCCTACCTGAGGGGTGGGTGCTGGTGGCTCCTACTTTTCCAGAAGAATGCAGGTGAGTAAGACCTGGCTGCTGCCTCTCTCCTTGCCGCAGGGACTCGCAGGGGCTTGTGGGCTCAGCCAGCACGGCCGGTTTTTCCTGGCCCCATCTGAGGGCTTGGAATTCCCAGCTTGGGTTACTCGAAGTCCACACTGGGCTGGGGCTGGGTGGTAGCACGTTAATTATCTCTGTTATGGCAACACAGGCTGCCTCCAAAGCACGGGGCTGCGGGGCGGCCGCCGGCCCCCGCCCCCCGCCCCCTCCCCCTCGCGCTGCCAGAGCTGTTTTTTAACCTGCAGGGATCCGTGTTTCAGGTGACATTTCAGCTTGGCCACCGTGCGTTGATTCCCCCGCCTCTCTCCTCAGAGCGCGGCACGGCCCCCCTCCTCCCCCCAGCTGCCAGCTTCACTTCCCCACACTGGCCCTTCTCCCCGGGGCCGAGGCCACAGGCGGGAGGTGACGTTTCAGAGTGTCCCTGTCAATGAGAATTTATTGAGCGCCTCCTATGAACCCAGCCGGCGCGCTCGCTGCTGGGAGGCGTGGGGACAGATAACGCGGGAGCAGCCCTTTGCACGCCTGCCAAGACTTAAGCCAGGGGCCTGTTAATCTCCCTTCTGCAGCTTCTGCCCGGCCACCAGGCACTTCTTGCTCAGTTCCCACCCTCTCGGGATGGACCCACGCAGCGCCCCCCCCCCTTGTGTTTGCACAGCCTGTCCCTCTCCCTGGCATTCTCCAGGCAGCTCCAAATCTCCGGGGGCCCTGAGACCAGCCCCCCTGCCTGCCCTTCTTGAGGCCTTGAGTATGTTCCCAGGTTCAGAGGGGAAGCGACTCTGGGGCCAGAGGAAGTGAAAGCAGCGGCTGGGGAGCACGGGGTGGGGGGGCCCGGGGGCTGCAGATTAGGGGGAGGGGTCCAAGAGTTGGCAAGCATCTGTGGCAAAGAAGGGATCTGGTTGATCTGGAGGCTCTGTGGGCCCCAGTGGGATTTGGGGGTTTAGGGGGGTGCCTCCTAGCTGAAGGGTTGGGGGAAGCAGGAAGCCTCCAGGTGAGGGGGCTCACTCTCGGCTGCACCTGGGGACCTTTAAAACACCCAGGCTGACCTGTGGCCAGTTAAGCCCAGTCTCCAGAGGTGGGGCCTGGAGGGGGCGCCTGGGGGGCTCAGTCGGTTCAGTGGCCGGCTTCAGCTCAGGTCATGAGCTCGCGGTTTGAGTTCAAGCCCCGCGGCAGGCTGTCTGCTGTCAGCGTGGAGCCCGCTTCAGATCCCGTCTCCCCCTCTCTCTGCCCCTCCTCCACTTGGCGTCCTGTCTCTGTCTCTCAAAAATAAACATTTACAAGAATGCGTTTAGAACATGGGGCCTGGACCTCTGTATTTTATCCCCTGCGCCCACCAGGTGACGGCGACATGCAGTCAAAACTCAGCTAGAAGGACCTACTGGTGGGGGGCAGGGAATGGGGGTCAGGAATTTCCCCATTTAGGGGAAGGTGGGCTGATGCTTTTTAAGGAGAATGGGGGGGCTCCTGCCCAGGAAGCCTTTTGCCCTCGAATTGGACGGGCCACCCCTGTGAGCCAGAGCAAGCACCCTTGGGGGCTGGCATCGCCTCGCCTGACCGGGGGAGGTGGTGGAGAATCACAGCAGGCTTGGGGGCCCCAGGGTCACGGGCTCCGGGCCTCGCGTTTGCCCAGGTGGGACCCTGAAGGTGATTCTTCCCCGGATGAGCTGCTTGCTCTTCTCCTTCAGACGCGGAGTTGTATTTGCATGGATGGCTTCCGTGCCTGTCTGGAGCTCTGGCCAAGCCTTCTGGAGCCTTCTGGAACTGGTTCCTCCAGCTCGAGAACCTGGCATATGTGTGGAATTACACGTTGTAGTGTCGTTGGGGCTGCCAGACCTGGGCGCGGGGCATCCCTCCAGCTGCCTCCCGTCTGTACGCGGGGGTG